TTCGGGAGGGTTTAGGGTTTAGGATTACCCGGGTGCTGAGAAAAGAAGCATATGCAAGCTGCGGTAGTTTCATATCAGCGCTCCTTGTTTACTGAAACCCATGTAGGATACGTCTTCCAGCTCGTTTTACCCTAAACCCTACCTCGAGGTGCTCTCGGCCTACCTCCTCAGCCAACAGGATGTCGGAGGAGCAGGCATCGCCAAGCTTTGGTTGCGCAAGGCTTTGCGCCAGGCGCCTGCTGCGATTCTCACCGGATTGATTCACGCCCAGGCTTGGTTTAGGGTTTAGGGGTTNNTTAGGGGTTTAGTGTTTAGGGGGTTCGATCTTGAGGTTGGGGAGTTTTATGTTATGTGTGTGCGGCTTTCTAGACTCTTGAGCAGCCCGTCGCGGCGGCTCAGTTTTGAGAGTCGCAGTCTTGGCTCGTGTTTGAAAGGGTCCACTATATGGGTGTCTTCAACGAAGGGTCCCACCAGTTTCAGGAAATCCTGTCCTGCAAAAAGGGGTCGGAACAACAATTAGTCATGTGTAGTATGCTATTTTTTGGGGCCCTAAAGACTGCTGCTACTTGTACAGTATCTCTGTTTTACAAGTTTATCTACTACGTCTCTGGCGGACGTTCCAAAAACAAAAATCTGCAACTCAAGACCCCCCTGAGGCGGTCCCTCAGCTGTTGGAGTCCGCTGCCGGCTGGGCCAGAGCTCCAAATGCTGCTATCCGACATGCTTCTCCTCTTGAATTCAAGCTAAACTTGTAGACGGAATATTACCTAGACCAGTGGATACACTTTACACTTTTTGGGACAACATTACCCACTATAAGACTGAAAGTGTGCACTTTTTGTGGCTTATGAACTCAGCAACTAAGATGCTAAACCATGAACCCTAAACCCTAAAACCTAAACCCTAAACCCGAAACCGTTCAGGAAATGGCTTGCTGGTTGCTGGTCTCGCTGGGACTGGCGCTGGGAAGCAAGGGGCTGAGGCCTACTGACTGCAATAGTGTGTATTTCTATCACCTCTATATGCAGGAAAAAGCAAATAGACATACAAAATCATACATAATCGCACATATCATGTGTAGATATAGATAGGTGGATAGGTAGATAGATAGATAGATAGATAGATAGATAAAGAAGTAGGTAGACAGATTGATATAGATATTTATATATCGGTATGTGTATATACATACATACATACATACATACATACATACATACATGCATACATACATACATGCATACATACACACATGCATACGCACATACATGCATAAGTACATACACATTACATACATACGAAACATAGATAGGAAACATACATACATACATGCATGCCTGCATGCATGCATGCATGCATGCACGCATACATGCATACATACATACATACATACATACATACATACATACACACATACACACATACACATTACATACATACACATTACATACATACAGCTACACGCATAATTACATGCATACATCCATACATACATACATACACACATACACTTTATATACATACAGTTACATACATAATTACATGCATACATACATACATACATCCATGCATGCAGGCAGGCAGGCATGCATGCATGCATACATGTATACATGCATACATGCATACATACATACATACACAGTACCTACATACAGTTACACACATAATTACATGCATACATACATACGAAACATACATACATACATACATACATACATACATGCATGCATGCATGCATGCATGCATGCATGCATGCATGCATGCGCACAAACAAACATACATACAGACATACATACCAACTTGGGATACGTTGTTGTGTGGTCACAATAGTTGTTATACAGAGGTCGGAATTCTTTCACTCGTATCTCGCATAGTCCCTTTAGTTTCTAGTATCACAAATATCCCAAAACCCTAAACCCTAAACCCGAAATGATGGAACAAGGCGCTCAACAAATCCTAAAGTATCACAAATATATCCCAAACTCAGGCCCTTTATTCCCGACCGTTCTTGTGCTTCTCGCCAGGAAGTCTCTAGGTTTTTGGGGTGCTTCTCTTCGGTTTTGGGTTTAGTGTCGGAATGATTCCCGACTCCGTGTGGAAAATAGTTTTTGATCATACCACGTTCAACACCCACGCTTTTCGGGTTCAGAGACCGTGCTGCGAAGATAACGTAAGGCCTGCTTCAAAATCCCAAACCCGAAAACCGGAAACCACCAACCGTAAAAGCCTACAGCCCTAAACGCCAAGGCCCTAAACAATTATATCCAATACCTGCACCCGCCGACTGAAAGATTTTCCTGAGTTTCTTTGAGCTTGGGCTGTCAAGGAAAGATTTAGGCGTTTGGAGGAGGGTATTTAGGGTTTAGGGTTTAGGGTTTAGGGTTTAGGGTTCAGGGTTTAGGGTTTAGGGTTTAGGGTTTAGGGTTTAGGGTTTAGGGTTTAGGGTCTAGGGTAGCGGAATCTTTCAGGCTTCATTAAGGACTCTTTGAGGGTTCTGCGATTCTTCTTGAAAGGCTGTGGGGCTTTAGTTTAGGCTTTCGGAATTGGGGTTTAAGGGATGAGTTTGTGGTTGGGTGCCGGATTTCGGATCAAGAAGGGGTGGACGAATGGGGCCGATCACGTATGTGCTTATGAGAACTCATGTCGATGACACCACATTGATTGCTGGACCGCTGGTCTTTCAACTGAGAACTTGACCCCATGAAGGGTTTAGGGTTTAGGGTTCAGGGTTTAGGGTTGTGATCTTTCAGGTTTCAACTGAGAACTTGACCCCACGAAGGGTTTAGGGTTCAGGGTTTATGGTTTAGGGTTTTGATCCTTCAGGTTCGCGTATGGACTGGGGCTCATTCTTCTTGTGCTGCACTTCGGCATCCAGTCTTGCAGAGTCCATAATCTGGTGATCCTCACCCGCAAGATGACAGAGCCTCGGCGTACTTGAGTCCTTGCTTCTGGAGTTGACAACCCTAAACCCTCAACTCTAAACCCAACCCCTAAGCCCTAAACCCTAAGCTTTAAACCCTAAATCCCTAAACCCCTAAACCCCTAAACCCTAAGCCCTAAGCCCTAAACCCTAAACCCTCTTCCCGCTTCCAGCACCAGACTGGAGACGGTTCTGCACGTCTGGGTCCTTGCTGGATACAATTTTACATTTTTTGTTACAAGAAAGCCCAAGTTTAGGGTTCAGGGTTTTAGGGTTCAGGGTTCAGGGTTTAGGGTTTTAGGGTTTAGGGTTTAAGGTTTAGGGTAAGGATTAAACACGATCATTCAGTTTTCATATGGGTGGTTGTCAAAATTATGGTCCTTTTTGGGGTCCTTATTATAATACGGCACCTATTATTTACGGTACCCAAAAAGGGACCCCAATTTTGACAACCACCCATATAGCCTCAACAGGGAACCAGAGGTGATGGATAGCTTGAACTTGGCTGCCAATCGCTTCGCTCCGTGATTTCAGCTCCACATCCTCCTTAGCAGAGCCACGGTTTAGGGTTTAGGGTTTAGGGTTTAGGGTTCAGGGTTTAGGGTTCAGGGTTTAGGGTTTAGGGTCTAAACATTGAGCCTGCCGCCACGAAGCCTTCAATCGATTCACAGAGCCCCGCCGCCCAATGCAACTAGATGCCTACACGCACACTAAATGCCGTACCTTGTATCCCGGAAGCATCCCTACAAGCTTTATGGGTTTAGGGTTTAGGATTCAGGGTTTAGGGTTTAGGGTTTAGGATCCCAAATCCCAAACACGAAGAGCAGGATCAGACCTCTGCACAAGCACTGGTGGGTGAGCTTTTGCCGCTTTACCTCCTGGCGCCGCCCCGGCGAGTGCTTTCACTGCTGTTTTGGGTGTTTGTACTTTGGAGGATTCGCGGGATTTGGGGCAACCCTAAACCCTAAACCCTAAAGCTTTCATAGGGTTTTGCTATTGTTGCCTTTGGGGTTTAGGTTTCAAGGGACTTGGGGATTGGTAGGGTTTAGGGCCAGGGGCCCGCCCACAAGCTAAGAGCCTTAATCATTAGAATCGGGTTTGGATACAGTATAGATATGCAGGAAGTACAGAAAAAGTTCAGTTAGATTTTTTCCGACCTCCTTTCGGTCTGTGCCCTAGCTTTGGGTCGGGGTTGGTTTCGGAAGTGACTGTGCGGGCGGCTTTGCCGCTAAACCCTAAACCCTGAACCCCTAAACCCCAAACCACTAAACTCGTTACATGAAATACTCACACCAGCAGGGAGTGACCAACGACTTCCCCTCGAAGCTGCACCTAACCCCGACATGCCTCCAAGCAGCATCGAAGCCACCCATCTCTTGAAGCCCAGCTATGTTTGTAGTATAAATGGCAACCCCAAGCCCTAAACCCCAAACCCTAAACCCCAAACCCTAAACCCTAAACCCCCAACCCTAAACCCTAAACCCCAAACCCCAAGCCACAACTCCAAACCCTAAACCCCAAACACGAAACCCTCACCCCTGAAGCCTAAACCCTAAACCCCAACCCTAAACCCTCAAACCCCAAACTCCAAGCCAAAGCCCCAAGCCAAAACCCGAAACCCTCACCCCTAAAGCCCTTACCCGGGCCAGGTTCGCCTTGTCAAATCTGCGGCCTTGGCGACCACTGCCACCCATCCTCGGTCTTCTCTTTGGGGTGCCTCGTCTAAGGCTTTTAGGGTTAAGGGTTAAGGGTTTAGGGTTTAGGGTTTAGGGTTTAGGGTTTAGGGTTTAGGGTTTAGGGTGTGAATATGGGGTGTAGCCTCTGTTTGCTGTGTTGCGGTTGCAGGGTCCTGAATGAAGAG